CCAGGGACTCTTCCTATATAAATACAAGGCTCGAGCTACATTCAAAGGGTTCAAACACCAAAACAAGCCTCCCACGGAGCAACTTATTTTCTTCTGTAATGCACTTTCAATATCTTTACTTGCTTTCCTAGGAGTAGTGTTAGGTTGTAAGCAGAATCCATTCATCAATATATCATACGACCCTTGATTTTCAAGGCGCCGGAGCACCATCCTTGTTGTTCGTTCACTCACCCCATATATCACACGATCGTCGCTCCATGAGCAGCGCGCCGGAGCACCGCCCAAAACCCACCACCAACACCATCACTCAACGGCCTTGTAGTTCAGGCCGTGAACCTAACAGCCGAGACCAGTTCCTCTCTCGGCTACAATCGTTTGACTAGGAAGACAGATCAAACAGGCGCACCACTTATCCATCCAACACTCATCAACACATCAACGCACGGTAAACCGTGCTGGCACGCCCGCGCACAACCGCACCGCACCCAAAAGCAGGAAACCCCGTGTTAACGCACATCCCCTCGGCCCGGAACTCCAGGCCGTGAGATTTGCGCGGCAGACACTGTGGTATTTGTAAAGTTGTTTAGGGTCATTAATTACATGGTTTGTGTATTAATTGACTTCAGAACATTGTTAGTTCTGTTTCGAATTATCTGAAGGTCGGAGGCTGATTATGTGAATTGCATGAGATTATATTGTGCGTGCTGCCTGTTGGGATATTAAAATGTGAATTTTGTGCAGGTTAAAATTTTGGGAATGTTCAATTTACAGGGGAAACTCTGCCGAAATTTCGGTGGAAAGTCTCGTGCCCTTATTCCTTTTTGGGGAAAGAGGCTATAGTATTGGTAAGTGGGCCCGGTATTGGTGTGATGCCAGAATTTCCACAAGATTCGTCTCGGGTTCCGAAGAATTCGGGGTGGGTCCTGTCAGCTTTGACTGAAATGAAAACAAAATTTGATAAATATTGGAAAGAGTTTCCTATGGTTTTTTGCTTTGCTACTATTATGGACCCTAGGTTTAAATTATATGCAATTGCTGAATGGTTAGACATGATAGGTATTGATCAATTAACCATTGACTCAAAAGTTTTAGCTATAAAGACTTTATTATTTCAGTTATTTGATATCTACAAGAAGAATGTAATTCCTAATGTGGTTCAAAATGTGCAAAATGTTGTTGCAACTTCTACTAGCCAAACTCCTGATTCTATATCTGTCCCTATAATGAGAAATTTCTCTATTGAAGGCTTGAAAAGGAAAAAGCTATCTTCTTCTTCTTCTTCTTCTTCCACCAACACTTCTGAATTACAATTTTATCTTGATTTACCAACAATAGAAGTTGTTGATGACAATCAATTTAGTCTTTTGGGTTGGTGGAAAAACAATCAATCATTATACCTTATTATTTCCCTCATGGCTCGAGATTTGCTAACTATTCCAGCTTCTACTGTAGCATCAGAATCATGTTTCAGTGCAGGTGGTAGAGTTGTATCGGAGAAAAGGGCTAGTTTGAGTCCGAGTACAATAGAAGCTTTAATTTGCTTGAAAGATTGGGGCTTGGCAGATTCAAGAAAGCAAGATGCATTGGTGGATGAGCAACGAGCTGAAGAATTAATGAACATTAGAGCATCAAGACCAGATTGGATGGTAGACAGTGAAGTTGAGATTGTTGGTGAATCTGAAAATGAGACCATTCAAAGTTGAAATGTTATGTAATACGACTATATTTTATTTTGCAAGCATTGGATTTTAATTGTAGTAACAGACTTTGGGACATTATCAAGCTTTTGAGTAAGCCTTCAGTGAAGCTTTTGATGAGATTGTGAGTGAATCTAATTTGATTTTGCATAACTTGGTTGTATTAGATTGTGATTTTGTAAGACCTTTTGTTTAGAAGGGTATAATTTTAATGGTTGTATAAGATTTGTAAGACATTCACATTTTGTGAGCTTCATACTTTAACAGGAATGAAATGAATTTCATAAATTTGACTTGTTATTAGTAAGCCCATTTCAACCCGGCCCGATAAAGCCCATTAAAGCCCGTTCCATGGATCGGGCCTGGGCTTTGATTTATTGAATAAAACCCAGCCCGGCCCGGCTCGATAATATTCATTTACTGTTTGAGCCCAGCCCAGCCCGACCCAAGCCCGTTAATTTTAGGCCGGGCTTGCTCGGCCCGGCCCATTGATGAGCCCTAGTGGTGTCAAAGATGGGGAAAAAAGAAGAAGTGTGAAATGGATCCTGCGGTTGTTTATTTTGCCGTGTCAAAGAAACTAGTGGAGCATGCCCGAATTAGGCATGATAGGGCAAGTTCGATGATCTTATTTGCAATTACTCTTTGAAAGTGTTGTATATATTGTGAGTTGATTATACTTTTCATATCGAATTATATACATGTGCAGGCATAGTATTAAATTAAATGGTCTAGTGAGTTTGTTAAACTTGTTTTAGTATGAGAATTATTTTTAGAGATGTGAGTAGTTTTCTATGTAGTTGTTTTCATTTTATTGTGAAAGAAGATAGAATACTGGAACTTAGGTGACCAATGAGGTGTTAGTTGGATTGACTCAGATTTTTGGTGAGCTCCCAAGTAGTCCTGAATTCAAGCCCCCATGGTACCCATGTCACCGTGTGTGTGAGTTTTTCCCCTCCCCTTCCTAACTTCGGCAAAAACAAAAACTGAGGTGACCATAGAAAATCAATACTTTTTCAAAAAAACAATGTTTCAGTTTCTCATTATTTAGCATGTAAATAATATTCTAGCTAGATGTGTCTCTTACATAAATTATAACTTGATTATCTCTCGCATAAATTATAACCTCATCTATCTCATATAAATTACTATAACTTAATCTATCTCGCGGATAAAGATAACAAAAAGGCTGGTGGTGATCCCAAAACACGAGCGAATTGGTTCAGCACCGAGGACGCAGAGAATATCTAGTTGCAGGTGCTGACCCTTCAATAGCTGGTGACGACAGTACATACTCAGAAGAGGATGAGGAAGCAGATGGCGACAGTACATACTCGGAAGATGACGACGTAGATGGCAAGGAAGCTGACGCGTCACTTTCAGTATGTTCATCATCAGGAGCTGATCTTAATGCTGGATCTGGTGCAGCCCTTTTAGATCCGACAGTGTGTCTCATCGAGGAATTCACCCTGCTACTTTCACCCCCTGCTGCCGACGCAGATGTCTGTGGGGGGGCTGACGTGGATGGCGGCATAGGGGCTGACGCCATGCCCATGGCAGAGGGTTCCAAGAGTATCTTAATCTCCTTATTAAGATTAGAACGTAATGACAGATAGTCATCCAATTCTTGACCTGAACTTGACACGAACATCAATTTAGTACTATCCACAATATTCGTTATTAATTGTTGGCGAGTGTTTTGTCTGATCTCAGTAATGCTAGGATTAGGAGTGTCAATGTCAACAGAAGAGCGCAGGATGACATTCATCTTAAATTTCTGATTGGGTGCGCATCTGTGACTCTCTGGAGGAAAGTGTACACCCGCTGCTGCAGCAGATGATGGCTGCGCTGCCGAAGTCGAAGCCATGGCAGTGGCTGCCGCCCCCAGTGGTTCGAACTCAAAGAGCTCAATGCGTGAGTTGGATGCAAGCCCTTCAATGCTCTCAATTATAAGCGAATCTTCTTCGAGATATTGGCGGTTGAAGAATAGGACTTGCTGGATTGCACTTATCCGTAGTAAATTTTCAACCTGGTTCTTTATGGATGCCACATTCCCAAACTTGTTCACTTCAATAACTTCGTCATTATGCCCTTTACGCACCACAACCAACTTGTAGCACTCCCTGAAAATCATTAAGAACTGTTTAAGAAAGGTTGTCTTATTTATTTTTATAGAAAACATATATAGAATTAAACATTTATAAGACAAATGAAAAATAATAAAATAATACTTAAAATTTGTCAGGATACATACCCGACTGTCTCCAGCCTTCCTCCCGTGAGTTGATTGTCGCGAACCTTGTTACCATCATTGGCTGGTACTCCCTGTCCCTGACCATGATCGTCGCCAACCACGTTACCATCATTGGTTGCTACTCCTTGACCGTGATTGGGATCATCGCCAACCACGTTATCATCACTGACTTCTACCTGACCCTCAACAACCGTTCTACCACCGTTTAGATCATCTATGAATAATAGATCCACATCTTCAAGTTTTTTGTAGAATGATGGTGATTCTTGTCCAGGTAAATGTAGTGGTTCTCCTCCTTGTTAGTCCATTGTACGTAAAATCACAAACTATGAATGTGAAGTGAGAAAGAAAAAGAAGCAAAAATTGAAAAGATATGATCGAGAAGCTTGATGTGTGTGCACTGTCTTAAACCTGGAACACAATGGGGGCAGAGAGGACTGTATATATAATAGCTCTGTGATAAGGTTCTTCTTTTTCCTTATTGTTTTGGGATAATAGGTCCTTACTTTCCCTTTTTGATATCCCAGTTTGTTTTGGGATAGTAGGTCCTGACTTGCCCTTTTGGATATCAAGATTGGCGGCTTGGGATAGTATAGCTCCTCACTTGCCCTTTTGAATATCCAGTTTGTTTTGGGATAGTAGCTCCTGGCTTGCCCTTTTTTATATCCCAGTTTGTTTTGGGATAGTAGGTCCTGACTTGCCCTTTTGGATATCCAGATTGGTGGCTTGGGATAGTATAGCTCCTCACTTGCCCTTTTGAATATCCAGTTTGTTTTGGGATAGTAGCTCCTGGCTTGCCCTTTTTTATATCCCAGTTTGTTTTTGGATAGTAGCTCCTAACTTGCCCAGTTTGGCGGCTTGGGATAGTATAGCTCCTCACTTGCTCTTTTGGATATCCAGTTTGGCGGCTTGGGATAGTATAGCTCCTCACTTGCTCTTTTGGATATCCAGTTTGGTTGTGCACGTACCAAAAAAAAGATTTGCTCCAAAAGCGATTCATAGAAGCCCAGATTTGTCCTAATAGTTTTTTGTTTTGGCTGTTCTTAAAACAAAAAAACAAAAAAAGAAGAAGACAGTTTTCTATTTGAAATATTGAACCCAGCAAAGGTCTTTTCAGCATGTGTTCCAAATCCACACCAAATCCAACCCACCGCACTGCCATATGCGATGATATGTTTGTCCTTGCTTAATACAATCCGCAAAATTATTTTCTTTTCTTTTCTTTCCTTTTTCTTTTTCTATCTGATCATATATATCTTCAATATTCTTTGAATGCAAATAGATAATAAAACTCTACTTTACGTAGATGATATTGATTAGTGAAGGAATTAAACACGTCATTACATTTAAACACAAATTAAGCATCTCAACAAGTAGATGATATATATCTCTTAAATGCAGAATCTGATGCATCCATCTGTAGTATAGTGTAAATTAATGGACTAAGCGACCACAACTGGAGCAGCAGAGCCCAACATTAATTCTCAACCCCCAGATTACTCATCATAACCTCAATGCCTCAACTCCCTTAATCGTTTGAGCATAAGTTCTAAGCCTCTTGACACGGGGTGCCGGAGGTACATTATGAACAATGCAGTCTTTCACAATCCTTCCGACAAGCTCCAATCCTTGAACTGGACCCATAACGGCAACCAGGTCATCCTATTCATTTACAAGCAAGTTAAAAATCATTAGAAGTCATCTTTCTCTTCCCATTCCACCTGGGCATGTGGGAAGACCAGATAAAATAAATTTACAAATACAACCATCAAAAGTAGAAAGAAACACTAACAGATGGGCGGAGATAAATGTCACAGCCTGTCAGTTTTTCAAGTGCCTGCATCCCAATTACATTGTTAACAAAGAAAAAAAAACAGAAATGACAAGCAGAAAAAAGCGTGATCTAGAGCACTTTTATTTACCTGCACCGGAAGAGTCATGAGTACTTTCTTCCTGGAAACATATTTATCCTGCACGCACACACATACACAGTACAATATATTAAATATATATATATATATATATATATATATCACATTAGTTGTTGTATCACTACACCCTAACCAATTCTAAACCTTTCTAAGGTCAAACAACAACTCTAAATGCTATGCTATGGTACTCCTTAAATTTAAAGGTCCTGCATCATAACTAAAGAAGAATGCTTAAAAGAACAAAAATGATTATACGAAACAAAAATGGAAGGAAACTTAAGAAATACCTACCATCTTTATCCCAAATTTTTTGCAAAGCCCACCTATATGATACCCAGTGTAGATGAGGTGACATGGAATTCCATTCAGTACTTTTACTGCCTGGATCAAAATGTTGCGCACTTAAATCAAAAGTTTAATACATAGATGAAAAGGATAGGTAAATTGGACATAAAATTTTGATTGAACCGTCCAACAAATATAATTGGCATGCTTGAGATTGAAATCAATTGAACTTGAATAATAACTGAGACGTTACCGATAAGAAAGAATAACAAAAGATTTGACATTGGTACCTGAAGTGCAGGAACTGCTGCTGACAAAAGTCGAAGAAGATATCTAGACTTGAGAATAGCATATGGGTCCTTAGCCCTGGTTGTCGTGAATGTGATGAAATACCGATCCTAACCATGATTTAAAAAAAACAACTTAACATGTACATAACTAAAAGAACTCAATATGAACACAAAATCTTACATAGTTTGAAGAAAAAAAAACCACTGATCCATAGTTCATATTTACAAAAGTCAACAAATATCAAACCAGCATTTATTATAACATACCACATCCAATGCACATGAAATGTCATACTCTTCTAAAGCAGATTGCAACACCGGCCAAGATTCTTGCAAATCTGTTGCTGTGAAAAACAATGCAAAGACTCATAAGTAAGAAAGCTTATTCGATCTATTTCATAATTATCATAGTAGTAATCATTACTGGAATGAAGAAGAAAAGGAAATTTCGCATAATCATATATAACTCAAACGAAATAAGAAGAGGAAAATTTCTTTTCAGTAAATTCATGAGAAGGCAAACAAAAAGGAAAAATAAGAAGAAAGAAAGAAAGAAAGATACTGATGCGTCTAAGAAAGGGCATGCGGAGAATGCTGTAATCAACTGGGCTATCTTCGTCAGATGCAGGGGTAGACTTGTCGATAACCATGCGGTGGACGCTTGGATCCTCCACGCCATTGACGTGGTTACTCATTGTAATTAAGCTCTCTGTTGCTAATGTTGGTTTGGGTACTTGTTGAAACCCTTGGCAAAAACAAAGAGAGAATGTGTTGGGTACCTGTGAAAAACCCTAGGCACAGAGAGAGAAAGAGAATGAGGCACCGACACAGATAGAGAGAAAGAGAATGAGTTTCTTGCCTAGAAAATTGGACGTTGTTATTCAACGTAGCTAAACTCGCTCGCTGTTGTTTTGGGTAATTGTCGAAACCCTAGCTAGGCACAGACACGCACAGAAGAAACATCAGACAATGGAGAGGTTATTGCCTAGAAAATTGGGCTTTCCTTGACCCCTAAAAAAATACTATTGGGCTTGCAAGAAAAAGCCCTAAACCTTAAAACTCCATGAATATTATTTGAGTGCGAAAAACATAACAACATTTATCGCCCATATAAAACATAACAACATTTATCGCCCATATAACATAACAACATTTATCAAAAATCATAACAACATTTATCGCCCATATAAGCCCTAAACCCTACTACACCACTGTGGTAGTCGACTCAAGAACCTCAACAGATAAAACTTGCAGGTTTGATTTCCTCCATATTTATTCAATTAATTTGTAAACTTGACTTCTGTTTCTACTTACACCTTGGTCAGTGAACAACATTGCTTGCAAAAGTATTTTAATTTCGATTTTGAAGTCAGTCTAATAGGTTCTTGGGCCTGGAAATAGGAAATGCAAAAACAGATGTAAGAGAGATATTGCTTCCTTGAATAAATTTCTTATTTAAATCTTGACTTCCTACTCTTTTTTCTTTTCTTTTTTTTTTTGCCTTTTAGCTGCTAGAGATCATTGAGTGTTCCTAGTTAACAATTCCTTTGGGATTTTGGGATATATTAAGTATTTTTCGGAGATCTAGCAAGTGCCCTATATAGCTCAAGTAGTTAAGAGCACTTACCCGTTAAATTACTTTTTATAAACGGAATGTTGTAATTATAGACGGTTTGAATTTCTAACAATGACCAGAAAAGGATAGAAAACAAAGGGACGAAAAGATGTCGACGGTTGGCGAGAATGTGGAGTACAGTAGTCCAAAGCAGAATAGTAAACATGAAGAGATTGCGGAGTACAATGGTCCAAAGCATAATACTAAACATGACGCCCAACATCCTCCCAACTTATACACCTCTAAGTCTCTCAATCTCAGCAGGTATGACTTTCATCTTACCATATGCTGTTTTCGGAAACTAGAGACAGCTGCAGCCATTTTTTTGAGGTGTATATATATCCTCTGTGTGTGTTTACTTGTGAGATAGTTCAAGAAAGCACTTACCATGTTCTAAGTTGGATGAAAATAGTTATGTCCTCTACCTATATGTTCTAACTTCTTTCTTTTATCCTTATCAGGCCCAATTTTTTCTGCATGACTGGAAGCCAAAAATATCGCTTGAGGTCGCTAAGGTGAGAAGAAAGCACAAATTTGATGACATCACAAATTATGACCATATTGAAATATGTTCATCCAACATTTTCCTCTCTAAATATTACTTCCCCCACATGAGGAGTGCATGAGGTTATTTAAGGGAGATTTTGGAGAACCAAAATCATCACCCTGATACAGTTATGAATACGAAACAAAATAGGAGCCAGCTCAGTTTATCAAACAAATGCTGTACATTTGTTAATAGAACATACTTAGCAGCAGTTTTAAAATGAGTTCTGCTAATAGAACATTTGTTACAGCTAAATGTTAAGGTTCAAGACTATCGATTCCCTTCTTACTGATTGTAGTTCCATTTTCAGAAGGACAAAGACTATGTCAGAAATCGCCATGAAAACTGTGAATGAAGAAGAATGCCATGTCAAGGTACGAGTGTTGGACCAGCCAGACAAGTGGTGTATCTACAGGGTCCCCAGCAAACTCCGCAATGTAAATGAAGCAGCATACACTCCTCAATTACTATCAATAGGCCCTTTCCACTATGGAAAACCAGAACTGAAGGACATGGAAACCCATAAAAAGATATATTATGAGAATTTTCTTGCACGTTGTAAGAAGAGTAAGGATAAACTAAAGCAATTTATCAAGACTCGTCAAGAAAATATTCTTCGTTGTTATGCAGGGACCATTGAGCTTGACATAGACCCTGCAGACATAATTGTGGTTGATGCCTGCTTCATCATCGAGCTCTTTTTAACGAACTTCTACGAAACAGAAAATCATAAAAATGATTATATATTGAGATCACCATGGCTGAGGAAAGCTGTAGAGCAGGACTTGATACTGTTTGAAAATCAGCTTCCTTATTCTCTTCTTCAAGAACTATATCATGACTTTGCTGTGCCTGTCTCTCGCAGTTTCCAACCCAGCAAAGAAGTACAAGAACAGACTCATAGTAGTACCAATGACTTCCTGTGCTGCTTGCCTTGCTCCTGGCGGATACCTTGCAATGAACATTCCATAGAGATTGACGAAGCCAAATCTGCTGATGACGAAGCTGAACCTGCTGATTATGATCCCCTGCTTGAGCTTACCTTTGAGTTCTTCAAAGATTATAATAAGGGGAAATCTGTCAAGAATAGAGTAAAACCAAAACATTTCACCGATTTGGTTAGGAATTTTCTATGTCCTGACAAAAAAATGGATTGTGAACATAATAGTGCTCCTGTCAAAAATATATATGATGCAAAGAAGCTGAGGGCATCAGGGGTGAAGTTTAGGGCACTTAAAGATGGACCCTTAATCATAGAGAAAGATGAGGCCACTAAATGTAAGTTCAACTTGGCATGTTTTAGAAATATGGACTTGAAGCTTACGCCATTTTGTGTCAAGGATGAGACAGAATGCGTTGTTCGGAACATCATGGCCTTGGAGCAGTTTTCGTACCCGGACAAACCTTATATCTGCAATTACTTTTTGCTTATGGATCAGCTGGTGGACACTGTGGATGATGTGAATTTGCTGGTTGGGAACAAAGTTATTCATAACACGCTAGGCAGCAACGAAGCAGTGGCGAAGCTGGTTAATAGACTTTGCGAGCAGATCATGGACGATAAATCCTGCTATTTTGATATCTGTGAACAGCTTAATATGCACTATGAGAATTTTTGGAACCGTCATGTGGCAACCCTGAAACGAGTTTACTTCAAGGACCTCTGGACGGGCAGTTCAACTGTACTTGGAGTCGTTGTCCTTGTTTTCTCAGTCATTGGAACCATTAAGTCTCTCATGTCGTAAGCTTTAAGCTCGTTCAACTCATGATTCTTAACAGACAGAATGTAAATTTCAGTCATTATATCAAGTGATGAACTGAACAAATAAGTTAGCTAGTGTTACAGTTTAACATAAAGTTTGAGTTACTAATTAGTTCTGTTATTGTTGTTAAAAGACTGCAGAGCAGTTCTTGTGAATTGATTGTAATGAACATTATTTCCATTTAGAATTAAATAAAGAAAGAGTCATGCTCTTGTTTTCATTGCACTCAGAGTTGAAGACTTAGATCTTGAATCTTCAGCTGCAAAGCCACTTGCGCTGCTATCTCTGTCTGGTCTTTACAGCAAATAGATGTTAAGAATGTAATTGCAGATGTAATACAAAAACAAAACTGCTCCAAAAGGTGTCTCATCTTCCACACAAAACTGTATAAGCTTCAAGTCCATGTTTCTAAAACATGTTTGGTTGAACTAATAATTACTATAATTACAGACCTGATCATCCCTTTTTATGACAAAGGTTACATCTTCAATTGGCCTAAACTTCACCCTTGCTGCCTTGAGCTTTTTCAGGGTGATATATATTTTTTAGAGGGCTACTAACACCATTTGCTTTGCTTCAGTTTTTGTATCTTGGATTGTATATAGTTCAAAATAAATTTCGTTCAAATAGTAGCTTACCCTTTTTTCAATCAACAGTAAGAGATTGGATATACTTGGGATCTCTTTTTAACATTAAGAAGAAAACTGCCATGAAACTAAGAGCTAGTTGATCCAACTTGACCTCTTATAAAATTGTCTTGCTTTTTTCTAATGGCCAACCGATAGGAGTTCATTAAATACGGAAATATATGAAGGCCTTGGTACAATTTCAAGCTTCAATCAAGGCATTAACCAGCCAGTAAGGAGGATTTACAATCCACCCAGGAGCTTACAATATTTTCACCATTTCAAGATGCTACATCATGAGCAACTTTATTACGCCTATGAGCAATTTCATTAAAGATGCTCTTTTTCATACACTCTGAATTCCAACTGGGCATCCAGACGCAGACCGCTCCAGACGTCTATGAGAACGTTACAATGAACTCGACCGCAATCTTCAGCCAGCCCTCTCCAAACTGTCACAGCCTCTGCAATGAAACTTATATGCAGTATTGCACACAGCCTGACAATAGTAAAGCTCAAATATCATCTCCACACACACACACACCCGATCGCTGTTGCGTCTGATTGCTCACACCATGCAGCATTGCACGTTAACATCAGCAATCCTTGAACTCAGACAGCTCCAGCTCAACTCACTCAGCAGAAACCCCCTGAACTGGATTCTAAATGTTATACTGCCTTATAGCGTCTTTACCATGCACACAAACAACTCTTCAGGGTCAGTAACAGTAAGACTACCATTAACAGACTTATTAAAATAAAATAAATAATAAAAAGAGAAAGAAAGGCTAGCATTCAACAGTACGTTACTTCATATCTTCCATAATCGCCAGATGTCAAAAACCAGCTCAAAATAATTAAACACTTTCCTGCTTAAGTGACCTATTTCTATCTATACCAATCCATAACATTGGATGTCAACAGGAAACAAACACAAATCCTTAAAATATGGAAATGTGAATTAAAAAAATTTGAAAACTGCTATCCCAATAATAAAATAATGACTAAAATCATAAAAGCCCCCAATCCACCTCATTATCAGTTGTTAGATGTAACTATGGAAACATAATTACAATTACAGCTTCACAAGGAAGGTTTCCAACTAGCCATTTATTGTGAACCAAATAACTACAGCAAAGAGGGCGGGTACTGTTTCCGGCCTACAAGGTTTAAGTTGGTATGCCTAATTTTAATTTGGAGCAATACGAACTTGTAATCTTCAATTTATATTTAGTTTTTAACATAAGCAATGTAAACTCTAAACGTTTCAATTTGTACCAATGTTGTTCGTCTATTTTGTAATCCATTATGAACAGAAGAATATATATTTGGTAAAAAACAAGCGTGCAGCAATTTTGTCATCTACCTTGTTCACATAGTACAAGTGTAGCAACTTAAAAAAAATACTAAGTAAAAACAAAAGTATACATGTTGAATAAGACAAAAATTCTTTTAGATGATGGTAGCCACAAGTTGCTCACATGGTCATGGCACTGGTTCTAGAAGGGATGACCTATGCATAAATGTTATGTCAAACTACGATTACATTGCAGACATGTGGAGGTTTTTCTTTTTCTTTTTCTTTTTGCCCAACAAAATTGTCAATATGAAACCAAGGTGAATCAAACCGACCTATTTAGTTTTTAACATAAGCAATGTAAACTCTAAACGTTTCAATTTGTACCAATGTTGTTCATCTATTTTGTAATCCATTATGAACAGAAGAATATATATTTAGTAAAAAACAAGTGCAGCAATTTTGTCATCTACCTTGTTCACATAGTACAAGTGTAGCAACTTAAAAGAATACTAAGTAAAAACAAAAGTATACATGTTGAATAAGACAAAAATTCTTTTAGATTATGGTCATGGCACTGGTTCTAGAAGGGATGACCTATGCATAAATGTTATGTTAAACTGCGATTACATTGCAGACATGTGGAGGTTTTTCTTTTTCTTTTTCTTTTTGCCCAACAAAATTGTCAATATGAAACCAAGGTGAGGATGACCCTCGGTTGTAGAAAGGTTCCTCGGTTGTGAGCAAGGTCTAAAGTATCGAGAGTTTCGAAAATATCGGTGGTCCAAAAACACGGATATATCGATGGAAATATCGAGGAAATATCGATATCGATAAAATTTGAATAAAAATCACTGAAATTGTGAGAAAAACTTGGAAATTTTTATTGAAAATTTAGAGGATGTTTATTTAGTCAATTATCTATTATTTTATCACAAAAAATTGGAATAAAATGCCTAGCATGGTGGGTTTGAGTGATTTAAGTTGATTATGTAGCGACCTGACAAACACCGTGTCTTTAGAAAATATGTAGTAATTAGTAAAAGAAAATTAAACACACCATAATTTTTTAGTTATAATAATTTACTACAATATATTATATATGATAAGATATATGAGCTTGACAAAATATATATATATATATGAGTAACTTAGTACAACATAGAAAAAATTCCTATTAAAGTTAAAACTTAGTATCACATATAATGAACAATATTAAAACTCAATAGTGAATAATAATACAACTCCATAATATATAATTAAAAAAAAATACAACTCCATAATAAAATAATAAATAACTTTAAACATATGCCTAAATTTATCATTAGGGAATTTTTTTTCAACAAATTTCATTTATTTTTCAGTTTCATATCGATAATATCGCGATATATTGCCCAAATAAAGCATGAAGAAGTAGGAAATTATCGCCTCCGACATTATCGCGATAATATCGACTAAAATATCGATATATTGACGATATTTAAGTGGATATGGGCTAAAATATTGCCCATTCAAAAAAACGATATTATCAGCGAAATATCACTGATAATATTGATATTTAATACTGTGGTTGTGAGGATGACCTTTGGTTGTAGAAAGGTTCCTCGGTTGTGAGAATGATCCTCGATTGTAAAAATGTGCATCGGCTCATGAAGCCAAAATTAGGATGATCCGTGGCTTTGAAAGTAATCCAAAGTGGGAATTTAAGGCCTTATGGCCTGTGCGTTTTCCATTAAATGGCCTATTTGGTGTTTTAAATACATTATACTATGTGTGACAATTCATACATAAATATATATGTTTGAAGCCATCTTGTTGATACTTAGGCCTTTCATGTCGCCTTTAAAGTGGCCTTTCAAAATTTTATTTCAGTTGGAACATTGAGTTCCATTGGCATCCACCATGGTGGATTTAAGAAAATGAGCTTGGATTGAGTGATTAAGGTGGTCAGATCTATGATTCACTCATCTATATCCGATATCTGAAAAAATACTAAACGAAATAATAATCTTCGTCTCGCAAAGTCTTTACTAAAATTAAATAATAAAAAAATTGGATGACTTTGCGCGACGAAATAATAATCTTCGTCTCGCAAAGTCTATACAAAAATAAATAAAATAAAAAAA